ATATAATACCTCATCTAGAATATGCAGTTCAGTTTTGGGCACCAATTCACAAAAAAAAGAACATTGGGGAACTGGAGAAAGTACAGAGAAGGGCAACCAAACTGATAAGAGGCATGGAGGAGCTCAGCTATGAGAAAAGATTACAGGAACGGAATTCATTCTCCCTTGAGAAGTGGAGATTAAGGGGTGATATGATCTCCATGTATAAATACATAAGAGGTCCATATAGTGAACTCGGTGTAGAGTTATTCACCCTGAGGCCATCACAGAGGACAAGGGGGCACTCTTTACTTCTGGAGGAAAAGAGATTTAATCTCCAAATAAGGAAAGATTTTTACACAGCAAAAGTTGTGAAAATGTGGAATAGACTCCCTCAAGAGCTACATTCTATCCAGCTCAGCAGATTGCTTTAAAAAGGCCTGGATTATTTCCTAAATGCACTTAATATAACTGGATACTAACATTGTTAGGTAAAGTTGATCCAGGGAATATCTGATTGCATCTTGGGGGATCAGAAATAATTTTTTCCCCTGTCGGAGCAAGTTACTTCATGGTTTGCTAGGGGTTATTTTGCCTTCTTCTGGATCAACTGTGGGTATCAGATTGTGTATATAGGATTGTATCAATGCTTTTTTTTTGTTTGAACTAGATGTACTTGTGTCTTTTTTAACTAGACTAACTATGTAACTATATTCATTTGTTTTAAGCCTAATAAATTATAATGGTAATACATTAGGCCTTTGTGCCTTTTTTGTCTGTTTAAACATTGCATTTGAGAACTCCTGTGCCGAGGGGGAAGTATACAGGACCATTATAGTTGATTAGATATTATATCAAAAGCCAAATCTATCAAGGGCTCCCTCTAGGTATCACCAATGTACGGCATTGAATGCCTTCTCATCATCCCAGTCCTAGAAACAGAAAAGGCACTCTCTGGGACTAAGTATAATGGATTAAATTGAGTATATCTTTTATACAGCATCCTAGAAGTGAATAGACAAACTCTCAGATTATCAGATTTCTTTTATTTATTAGGATTTTAACTCCTCTTTATATTTTGTCATTTTTGTTGTGGGCATACTTAATATATACTATGTGGACATCCCATTGCAAAGGAAGGAGTTGAGTATAATTTTGGAGCTATATTGTATTCTACTCCATTTGAAAGGCATTCCATAAGATTTTGGAGTGCCTGTGGGAATTTGTGTCCATTCAGCCAAAAGCATTTGTGAGGTCAGGTTTTAGTTGGATGAGAAGACCTGGCTGCCAACCGGTGCTCCAGTTCATTCCATTCCAGGACTTGAAGTCAGGGCTCTATGCAGGCTACTCAAGTTCTTCTGCATTGAAGTTGTCAAACCATGTCTTCATGAAGCTTGGTGTACAGGGGCACAATCATGCTGGAACAGAAAAGGGCCTTCTCCAAACTGTTAACAGTACCATTAACATTACCCTTAATTGGAAACATCACTGGAAAAAATGGTCAGGGGTCCTCAAACCTTTGGCCATATAGTATAGCTGAGCATATTTCTACCATAATGACCCTAAGTCTGATTTTATTTTATCAAAGGCTATCTTAAAATCCTTATTCCTGAAAGTGTATATGATAGGATTAAGCAATGGGGTAATTACAGTGTAAAACAAAGAGAGGACTTTGCCCAGCCCACCCAATTTTCCTCTAGTTGGAAACAAATATACAATGGTTATAGAACCAAAAAATATAGACACTACAATTAAGTGAGAGCTGCAGGTGGTGAATGCTTTATGCCTCCCTGAAATCGATGGAATCTTTAAGATGGTTAAAACAATACAGATATATGATACTATAATAATGGTAAAAGGAGCTGAGACACAAAAGAACCCTATTACAATCGTTTGAATATGAACCCATGAAGGATCAGAGCAAGAAAGCTCAAGTATGGGCTGTATGTCACAGTAGAAATGGTCAATGATGTTTGGCCCACAGTAGTATAGACTGCACAAAGATATGGAATCAAGTAACATAATTTTAAATCCCAACAACCAAATTATTATCACTGACTTCATGCAAAACCTTTGGTTTATTATAGAATTGTAATGCAGGGGCTTGCAGATGGCCAAGTAGCGATCGTAGGACATCACGGTCAACAGAAGGCACTCAGAAACCTCAGCAGTTGCAAAGAAGGAAAATTGGCTGACACATCCGGTAAGTGACATGGTACATCCATTGTACAGAATAATATGAAGAAGGTTAGGAAGAATATCTGTACTTAGCATCATATCAAGCAATGATAATTGTGTAATGAAGAAATACATGGGAGACTGAAGGTTTTTACTGCGATGAATCAAGACCATGATAAGAAGATTTCCAGAAATAGTAACACAGTATATGATAAATAGGAACAAGAAAAACAGAACTCTGATGCTTTCAATATTTTGAAATCCTAAAAGTACAACATTGGTTACATTGTTGTGATAGACTACCTGGTAAGAGAATGAAATACGAATTAAAAATATTAGCAACAAAGCAGCAACTATTAGTTATGCAGCACCATCATCTCCTGTAGCAAAGTCAGAGTAATAGTGATAGTAGAAATACTTTAATAAATGTTTCCAATGACAAATTCATAAAATTACTCAATACATACCTAAAAAGCAATGGCAAAATATAATAGGAGAAAGGATCCTGTCTATGCAAGTTTATAACCAGAGAGATGAAAGGGTGAAATAATTGGTAGGAAAATGATTAATGTACCTAACACCAGAAATAAAAATTTAATATGGTGCACCTTACCATTCCTTAGATGTGCTGGCTGCATTAGTGCAAGGCACAAGGTCTTCTTTCTTTTTAGTGGTCTTGCAAAATGGTTTTGCCTTGCCAATGTCTTGCTAGAGGAACCTGTCTGAATGACATAATCCTTCTTGTGGTCTTTAAAGTGTATCTAAACCCAAGAACAAACATTTTATACATTGAAGTCTACCAGTCCTTAGATGTTGTTAGCCTGGCGGTAGACATTTTTTCTGTCCTAGGATAGCAACTCTAACTGACTGTGCTTTGTCTATGCAACAGCGGCAATGTCAACTAGGATAGGGAATGGACTAGGACTGCAGAACATGGACAGAGATATGGAAAATAAAGTGGTGGATAAAACATATGGCTTTAGGCTTAAAGCATATCTAAACTCAACAACAAAGATGTAATATATTGCTTACCAGTCCTTACAGTATATGTGGTGGTTGTATTAGTTTTCATCAACAGTGTTTTTTTACTAAATTTTTCACTTGTGATCTTGTGAATAACACACTTCATGTCCTAGGCTGACAAAGTACTCTGACTTTCCTAAATCTTGAGAGGAACCATAATTGTCACACAGGCTGGACTTCAAACATGTCTCCATCCCTTTACTTCATTTACAGGAGAATAATGGAGTTAGTACAGTGGGGACAAAAAGCAAAGGCATTGAAGATGAAACGTAGCTGGGTCTTCCAACATGACAATGATCCCAAACATACCGCCCGGGCAACGAAGGAGTGGCTTCGTAAGAAGCATTTCAAGGTCCTGAAGTGGCCTAGCCAGTCTCCAGATCTCAACCCCATAGAAAACCTTTGGAAGGAGTTGAAAGTCCGTGTTGCCCAGCGACAGCCCCAAAACATCACTGCTCTAGAGGAGATCTGCATGAAGGATGGGCCAACATACCAGCAACAGTTGTGTGCCAACCTTGTGAAGACTTACAGGAAACGTCTGACCTCTGTCATTGCCAACAAAGGATATATAACAAAGTATTGAAATGAACTTTTCATATTGACCAAATACTTATTTTCCACCATAATTTGCAAATAAATTCTTTCCAAATCAGCCAATGTGACTGTCTGGATTTGTTTTCTCATTTTGTCCCTCATAGTTGAGGTCTACCTATGATGCCAATTACAGGCCTCTCTCATCTTTGTAAGTGGGAGAACTTGCACAATTGGTGGCTGACTAAATACTTTTTTGCCCCACTGTAGTTTACACAAATAGGATAACATTGTTTTATGCTTCCAGTTCAGCTCACAGGAAACTACAGGGACACTGATGTTCTTGCAAATAGAAAACGAATACAAACACCACAGCTAAGGACTAGTATGCTGCAATATATTAAATTTTTGTTACTAGGTTTAGTTTTGCTTTAATATTTACAACATGTATGTAAGAACTAAACTAGCTGTTATTTTATGTCAAAGGTGTTACATTTTCTTTCCTAGCACCATATAAATATTATTGATACCTCCGTACTGTGTGTGGTTTTAGAGAAGACTTCTGGATATAGCAGTTTGCTTTGAAAGGCCGACTCAAGCATTATTCATTGAGGCAAAATATGTTCTGTTGAATAGAATTCACTGCAATATAAAGTATTTACCTTGTCGATCGTAATCATTTTATACATTTTATGTTCCTCAAGGCACCGTTCTGTAATTAACTACACTGATAATTATCCTTGCAAGTAGTCTTTCAGGAATTATCTTTTTCTAATAGTGTATATCTCCTGATACACATATTAAAGCATCTATTCTCAGCTAGGGCTTGCATTGAATTATAGAATTCCTCTAAGCTTGGCTATACATTAAGAAATAGTCTTTCCTTCAGCCTTTCATTCCAGATTGTGTATAAAAGAGTGATAAAATAATGTTGTGGTTGAGATGGAAGGCCAAAACTACAAAATGATGACTCAAATCAAAGAACCACCTTGTTGTGGTGCAGCACCAGAAAATGGCTCCCTGTAACCTTCTGTGACAAAAGGACTAGAGGAAGGTTACGAATCAGCTTAAATGGCAGTTACTGAATTTAGATCCCACAATGTAAAAAAATTGACCTGACCAGAGGTCCAATATGCATGACGCACTGAACAAAGGCATGCAGTAGTGAGAGCCAATTGGCCATTGAGAAAACTGCCAAAGCTGAGATCTACTTCTTGATTGTACTCAAGGTCAGTTGCACATCAACCCCAGACTGAAGAAAAGCTAAAACACAGTCTAGAGTATATTAGCATCACACCAGGCCACATTGGATTCCCAAGCCCTGTGGTAAATCTTCCTTGAAGTAGCCTTCATGGCTCTCAAAAGCATTGGGATGACTGCATCAGGCACCTCCCATGCTTCAAAATTCTACAAATAACCATGCCAATAAAGCCAGCAATTGTAAAGAAGGAAGGAAGAGTGGACCTTGCAAAAGTAGGTCTGAGCAGATTGTAAGCATCCAGGAATTATTTGCTGACTTACTCCTGATGTTGGAATATCATGTTCTCTTGGACTAAGCTGGTGCTATCAGAATCATAGGCATTACCTCCACCAGAATCCCACGAAGCAGATGAAAAAGAAACTGTAATAGAAGAAAGACGTACATCAGAGAGAACTGGTCCCACTGCATTATCAGGGCACCTACTGCAATGAAGCTGTCCAGTTTTGCACTAAAGCTGAATGCCAAAATGTCTACATCCGACATGCCCTGTCATTGACAGAGAGCCTTGGGTGGAGACCTACTCCTCCGGTGACAACTTTTTTTGGCTGAAGAAGTGCACCTGCAAATTTTCCAATCCTGTAATGTGACCTAAAGTCAAAGAGGGAATATGGTGCTCTGCCCAAGACATGAGGTCCACCTCCTTCTGGGCTGCTTGATTCCTTGTGCACCCTTGATTATTTTCATGGCTGTGACACTGTCCAACCAAACCCTTACCAGAAGAGCGTGCAGTAGAACTAGACAGACTGAAGAGCACCAGAAGAGCAGTGCAGGAGAACTAGACAGACTGTCTGCATTTCCAGCACACTGACATACAGGTGTCTTTCTGGTAGGGAACAAGTCCCCTGTACCAAAAGGTGATCCAACCCCCCCCCCCATCATGTCATGCTGGCACCCATTATTAGCATTTTCCTAGATGACTTCCTGAGGGATGGCATCCATCAGTTCCAAGCCTGAAAAGAGCAGGGATACAAGGACATTGGAGTGCCCAATGACTTTGCTTTGTTCCATGCCCATGCCCATGCCCCCAGGACATTCCTCTTCATAGGTCTATAAAGAAACTGATCAAAGGTAATTGCCTCAAACAAAGCCATCATCTTCTTCAAAACTCTCATGCAGAGACAAATTAAGGGACACTTCAGGGTTCTCATAGAAAGCACCAGATTCTTCTCTGCAGGGAGTATCCAGGAGCAGACTCAGATGTGTCCATGAGCAGACCCAGATATTCCAATCACTGGGAAGGAGCCAATGTTGATAACTGGAGATTGAGGACCCAGCCAAACCTCTCCAGAGTGTGTTTTGTGGTGATCATTGTCAGGGAAAGCTTCTCCATAGCACAGATGGAATTCCCAGGCACCTGTCACAGATACTGGTGCCAAACAGGTTATTTGAACAGGGTTGCAGTACTGGCTCATTGCTGTTTGGTCTAAACATTCTGCGTTCTTATTCCTGATACCTGTACCTAACCTGCTCACAACTATGCTTGTCTGCTACGTGCCCTGTCCTCAGCTTGTCCCAGGATTCAGCTTCTACCTCCTCTTTGTGGCTGATCTGCTTCTCCGTTGCTAGCATTTGCTTGTCACCCGACTCCCAAAAAAAAAAATCTTAATCATAGAATCTTCTGAATAGAATCCTTTAAGGCATCCACAGAAAAAAACCTACAGCCCAAGGGAAATCTGACAAGTCCTTGCCTATTTCAGCCTTACTACCCATGGAGCCTAACCTTCTGGAATCTAACTCCAAATCTAAGGCTTTGGCAGAGTCTGGCAGCTGCAACTTTTGGCTGTACAGCAGCCCTCAAAGGCTTACTTGGGCATTCACTGAGAGCATACTCACTTTCTTAGTGAAAACCTCCTCCTTCGCATATTGTTGAGCAAACCCCTTCAGTAGAGCAAGCACCTTGTTATGGTGAGCCAAATTTGCATACGCAACCTTCTCAATATGAGGATGTAAAAGAAAATGACTGGGGATCCTGTGGTGGCCTCCATGACCCCAGTGATGGAACCTCCAGAGATGAAGACTCAGGAAGTGGCAACTTCAGATCAGGTGTGGACCATTTCAGTGAGAAGCTTACAAAAACCTTCTGAGTCTGAATTACCTCAGACCATGGGCTCTTGCCTCTTCCTCATTGCCCACCAATTCCTTCCCTGCCAAAAAGGAAGGAGAAGGGTAAGGGGAAAATTGTACAAGGGTGCTACATCTAGTCTAGTCTAGATAGCGGCACCTGTGAGCCCTGTCTTGCTGTGTTCTCCCTCTCTGCTGTTTAGAATATATATGGCGTTATTATTTCCATATTGAGACCTGTGCTAAATAGCAGCCCCAATCAGCTTACAAGACATTGTGTACACAGACACACAGTGCACCGGTTACCGAAAAAGACAAAACACGGCTGCCAGTGCTCCCCCCAACAGGTGTGCTTAAAAAATTGCACCAGTCCCTGGAGCTGAAAAGCCTACCTCTTTTCTCTAATGATGCCTTCAGCTACACTGCTGCTACTATTGCTGCTTTTGCTACTGCCTCCATCTTCCCTTAAAGAGTAACTCCCCTTTTGTTGAGAAAAAAACATTCCCTTTTGGGTGATCTATGTACATTGCAGGGATTATAGCAAACTTTGTTGCAGATTCCTACCTTTTGTTATTCTGAAGGAATAGCTGTTTGTGTGTCTATGAGGAAAGAGAATCAAATGGGAGTGGTTTCATAATTATCAATCAGCTACTGCACCTGCTGGGCTCTAATGAGGAAAGTGGCAGGGTCTGCATTCCTTTAGACGTGATTTCCTATTGGGAATATCTTACCAAAAATGACATATTTGTTGCAGGTGATGCCTGAAATCTGACTTGTATCTTAGTGCAGACTTCTGGGAAAAACAGTGAGCCATTCACACAAGCAGGATGTTTCTGCGGGGGCCTTCTGTACACATTCTTCATAATTTTGAAAAACATTCAATTACAATATGATTTGTAAAATCAAGATAAATATAGTGTTTGCGCTCTCAACCTTTCAATCAATATATGTGAAAAATGTGTATTAATGAACATAAATACTTATACTTGTGAATCTTTTGAATGAACTCAAATAAACAATGTGCATAGAACAGTGATGAATGACCAAATATATAAAATATAATAATAAATAATAGAAAAATATATATAATTATATATATAATATAAAATTAATGTCCCAAAAAGTGACTTTGTGCTGAAAAAATCTTCAATAACATTAAATCGGTGACTGCTTGTGACTCCTCCCTCAAGTGAAGATGTGCGCTCACCTCATAGATAGCCTGCAATTAGGCTATTAAAGCTTGCGGTTCACCTCCTTTGGAACCTGCTTGTTAAGAACTCCTGTTTATAAGATATCCATGGAATGCGACATATGCTATGGAAAAAATTTCCTCTCATAGGGTGCCACTCCTCTGTCTTCCTGTCTCCATGCGGTTCTCCATATATAAAAAAGATCCTGACATGGTGCTTTATCGTTTTAAAAGCTTGACTTTAATTTGCTTACAGGTGTGGCACTCACATATATTCGGATAGTGGTAGTACAACTGTTATCCCAGACTGCCGCTGACTGTCGGAGCTGTGCGCTCGTGGTCCGGCAAACGGACTGACTCCCTCCGAGTGACGTATACAGTCCCACCCCTACGCGTTACGCCACTGGTCACGTGGCTTCATCAGGGGAATTTGATTGGTCGGTCACTCGTGTATTGCCGGCTTATAAAGCACGGCTCCGCCATTTTGTTGACTATCTAATGGGGGCAGCCATTTTCCTAGAGATAAATGCCTTGCTTTTTTGTGATTCTGACAACACTGTAATCATCCCAGAGGGGTACATAACATCACAACCCCGCAGTCAGCTCAGATTAATCTATTTTTATCCCACATCATGAATACATCTCTTTATGGAATATCCCACATCATAAGTACATCTCTTTATGAAATATACAAATATCGGCAAATTATAAAACATATAAAATTAAATTACAAATTACAAAAATACATTAATTTAATCCATATTACAATTTACATCTATATGTGTACATCTACATTTATATGTTTTATAATTTGCCGATATTTGTATATTTCATAAAGAGATGTACTTATGATGTGGGATATTCCATAAAGTTTTTCACATTGGTAGTTATGTGCTAGAGGTTTGCGATCCAACAATAGGAATTTTTTTATTTATCATTTGGCTCGCAAGATTTCTTTCAAACAATATGATTTGTGTTGCAATTGTATATTATTCTTTTTTAACCTCCCTAGCGGTCTGATTATGTCCATATTTCTGTGCTCAAAGCGGTACATTTTTTTGCATGAAAATATGTATTTTTTTTATTGTAGGCCTGTAAATTTTAGGAATAACTCACTGAAATCTGTCCGAACAAAAGTCTAGTAAACATCCCGGGTATGTTAAAATTGGAAACACGAATAATAAAAAATAATCATAAAAAATAATAATATAATAATAATACATTTAATTCAATAATATAATCAAACCAAAAACACTGAAATGTGAAATATAGCGCCAAGTTCTCACATCGCTGAGCTCAGTCGCAGAATCGTTTTCAGTGTCTGATGAGGAATTTCCCCCACGAATCATTATCACTCAATTCTGCAAGTGGTTCTGATTTACTATCGCTGTTCTCTAGCCGGTCTAAAACCGATTTTGACCTAAAGGGATGCTTTTTGGACGCCATGGACGTTTCTCAGTTTCCAGGCAGAAAGAACAGTAAAAATGCAGGCAGGGCGCCGGACAAAGCACTCGGGACAAAATGTATGTGAAATGGTTTGATACAGGAATGTTATACTATGTGATTTTAGTGTATTTAGTGAATGTCACTTTTTGTCATTTTCAAATTTCCCCGCCTTTCCGTCCACCCGTACGTCCCGACATTGCAGGGGACAGAAGACAGATGCCGGCATCGGCCGGAGGACATTACAGGGGACACTGCAGGGGGGACATTGCGGGAGCGCAGGACAAGGTAAGAGAGGAACAGATCCTGGAGAGCAGCGCCGCATGGTATTCCTGAGTGTAGCTCGGGGTTACCGCTTGTGGCCCTGAAACTTTACCCCGAGCTACACTCGGGAATACCGCCAGGGGGGTTAAATTGCTATTTTTTCCCCACAAAAGTGGAGTTACCCTTTAAGTGTATACTGTCACACTTCCATGCAGATAGATCCTGCGCAGGGTTTTTCTTCTATCCGAGTTGATTGGTTCCTGCCTATCTGCCCTGAACCTAGGTATTATTAAGCCTTTGCACCTGTGTGTTAATGTTGGAGTAACATGTCTTCATGTGGAAGCCGGACCCTTCTGGTTCCTGTGGTGTTCTCCAATGCTTGAGTATTCCCATATTCTGTGTGTTGATGGTCCTGTCTTTGTTCTCAGTGTTTTCCCTCTGGCTGTGCAATTATATGGCCTTTGGTTTCTGTCCCTTTATTTCCTGTTACTGTGTGTGTCCTTCTTAGCATTGTTTCTTGTTGTTGTTTGCCTTGCAGCCCTTTCCAGCTTGCTGCATCTCTCTCTCTCTGCAGCTTTGCTTAGCATCCTCCAGGGGCGGACTGACAACTCATGGGGCCCCTGGACAATAGGGGATCATGGGGCCCCTGTGTCCTTGCCCAAACTCAAAAAAGCCTATGAAAAAGGTAAGAGGGGCATCTCATGGGGCCCCCCTACTGTCCCCGGGCCCTCGGGCAGTGCCTGAGTTTCCAAATGGTCAGTCCGCCCCTGGCATCCCCTTACTCTCCTGTGCAAAACACTTGTTCCCTGTGTCCTCTTCCCTGGTGTCCCTTCCTAGCTTGGTGCAGTAGGTTACCTTGGTTCCTAGTATCCTGTGTGCACCCCATGTCCTCCCATTGTGCCAGTTGGTTGCATTGTGCTTGCATGGGTGTGTTAGAGAGCCATAACCTGGGGCTTGCCTCACAACATTCACACCTCCAATGGCTCTGGTGAAGACCAAGTGGCTCCTTAGATCCTGCGAATCCAACACACCTCCGTTTGCATGCAATCACGCTGCTCCTGCATCTGCAAGGACCAGTACCCGGGTACACCTGTTTAGTTGTTTGCACTGGCCCACTAGATCTTGAGTTTACAGTCCCAGGTGGTCTTATCTTCTCATTGTAACATATAAGATATCCAGCTCCCAAGGTGACAATATGGCCACTTTCATGCCACCCTACCCCTATGGGTGGGTCATAAAGCCCTAAAAAAGGTTGCATGACATAACTTGTGATTATGGCAGGCAGGAGGTAATACGAGTAGGATCAATACTGAGGCCAAATAAAAATTATCACAATTAGCAATCCATAGAGAATTACATATAGTAACAACACACAGGACCACTGCACCCAGTGGTCATCCAGGCAGTTTCCAAAAACACAGCTTCTGTCCCTTAGTGGAGACCATGGGGAGGACACTGTAAGTGTTGCTGAACTTCAGCAGAGAAAAATCAGGTCTTCTACCCACCAGAAAGTGATGTACTTTATATTGGCGCTAAATAAATCTCATAACCAAAGGGAGAGAAATCCAAACTCTTTGGCAAAAAAACATTACTTTTTGTAAAGGGTTTCACATTAATATTTTTTCATGGGAAGTCTTATGTGTTTTGGGGATAATAACACTTACTGCATGGGATGGTTTAGAATTGCAAGGACCTCTAGCAGTCTTAATTGCCTCAGTGGTACTGAAGTATGAATGGGGACAGTTTTCGTTTTCTATTTTACTAACACAAAAAAAATATAAAATATATTGCAAAAATGAAATGTGTATTTCATTTTTGTTTATGTAGCTGTTTGTCTGTTTCAACCTCTATCTACACATCATCACTAATGGTATAGATCATTATTATATCACTCTTTCTTCTATATTCATGAGAGAATTTTATTTATTCCCTTTAGACTTTACATTAATAAACAGTTGTATGTTCTCAGTATAAAAGGAGAAACAAACTCAAGCTTGTGTCATGAAGATTCTTTGAGCTTCTTCAAACAGAATGTTTCCCCCATGGGGCATTTTAAGAACATAATATCAACAGATGATACAGTTTTTTTTTATTTCTTACAACCTGTATTAGCAGTAATATTTAAACTACAATTTGATAGTTAAACACATTCTGATTCCATTCACAAAACCTATTTTAAATTTACAGTAAAACTTGGAAAATTGGAAAGCAGGATTTCTTTTTTTCCTCACTATTGATGAAGTAAGTGTAATTACATGTATTTTTGGAATGCTGGGGAAGGGGTTCCCATGTTTGGCACAGATTGTGCCAATATGATAGCAAAAAAAAGAAAAATAGAGCTGCCCCAGTCATACTTCAGTACTACTTTATGTAGATTACACTCTGAGCTTTCTCATTCTTGAGCTTGCCTGTATTTTGCTTACTGGACCTTTGATCAAGTGGATATTTAATTACGTGGACTTAAAAAAACGGAGTTAAAACCAGGAGATTATAACAGGAGTCTAATAACCTGTAAGTGACATCTGATATTTCCTATTAGTAATATTAATATTGTAACTGGGATATGAGTGCTAGCAGGGTTGAAGGTTTTGTGCAGTGCACACTGACCCACATGTATGCAACAAAGGAACAACAGCTTCAGGATGGCTACAGCTGTGACAGATGTGAGTGGGTTGCCCTTCTGGAAGCTTGTGTTGGAGATTTGGAGGAGCAAGTTGCAACACTGGGCAGAACTGACAACCTTGAAAGGGGTCTTCTGCTCTCTGAGTAGGTAGCTAATGGTATTGATGTGGAGGGCGGAGGGGCTTATCAGGATTATCAGGTAGGAAGATGGGTTACTCTAGTGAGAGGGAGTGGTAGGAGCTCAGAGAAAAGGAAGGCCAGCCCTGGGTTTGTGCACCCAAACAGATTTTCCAGGTCGGGTGAAGATGTGGGGGTGGCAAGCTCAGGGGTGGCAAATCTGGATGTCACTGCTATCCCTAACAGCCAAGAGGGCAGACCATCTGGGAGGGGTGGTGAGGGTAGTGCAGGAAGGCCTAAACAGTTGGTGGTAGTAGGGGATTCTATAATCAGGAGGACTGATAGAATAATTTGTCACCAGGATTCAAGCCTGGTGCTGTCTCCTCTTGTATGGTCAGCCGAGGATGGTGTTCGGACAGGGAAGCGGGAGTCTAACAGAAATACCCTAGTGCAGTCGGGGTCCGGTTCCGTTACAAAGGGTGTAACATGTAACATACTTTTATGTACCAGCCCCCAGCCACCAGTGCTCCCCCCTCTGTAAAATCAGTCTGGGGGATCATCTCCCTTCAGGGGCAGACTGACCATTTGGAAACTCGGGCACTGCCCGAGGGCCTAGGGTCAGTAAGGGGCCCCATGAGATGTTCCTGGTACCTTTTTTATAGGCTTTTTTGAGTTTGGGCAAGGACACAGGGGCCCCATGATCCCCTATTGCCTGGGGGCCCCAAGAGTTGTCAGTCCGCCCCTGTCCCCCTTCACCCATTGTCACAAGTTGAAAACAGTGTGGCTGTCCAGGACTCCACCCACATGGCTGCGTCATTCATTCATAATTTTTTGTGAATGAGACTACAAGTATCATCAGCCATTGCAGCTGAAACTTGTAGTTCCCAGTGAACTGTGAGGACACTGGTGAGCGACCTTGTAGTTCATTAATCTTCCTGCTGTCCGGTAACCGCCTGACCATATAGAAGAGTCTGCAGGAGCCTTGCATTGCACCTATGATCTGCTGACCATGGCTGAAATGCTCTGCAGGCTCCTTAGAAATAAATAATGCATGCAAATTTTTTTACCTGTGAAAACAAAATGTGCATTTATTTATTTATTTATTTTCAAAAGGTGAATTTATCCTTTAAAGTTCGCACTCAATTTGTACATAACTACACTTTTGTTGAGGAAAAAAAACAATTCCCTCTGGATTTTCAATGCATGTTGCAGGAATTGTAACAAACTTTCTACCAGATTCCTACCTTTTGTTGTTCTGAAGAAATAACAGTTTGTTTCTCCATGTCCTTTGCTGACTGATTCTGAATGGGAGGGTTTGGTTCATTATATTTCCAAAAAAAATAGAAAAACGAACAGGTGACCAAATACCACTCAAAGAAAGCTCAATTTGTGGGAAAAAAAAGAACGTCAATTTCATTTGTGTGCAGCATTGCATGACCGCGCAATTGTCAGTTAAAGTAACACAGCGCCATAACTCAAAAGATGGCCTGGTCAGGAGGGGGGTAAATCTTCTGGAGAGAAAGTGGATAAATAATCTGTGTTCTAAAAAATATATGCACATAGGGGGTTATTTACTAAAAATGGTGCATTCAAAATCCGGTGCAGCTCTGAATAGAAACCAATCAGCTCCCAGGTTTTATTGTCAAAACTAAATTGAACAAGCTGAAGTTAAAAGCTGATTGGCTATCAATCAAAGCTACACCAGATTCTGAATGCACCAGTTTTAGTCATCTTTCCAAAAATTCAAATGTCCTGGATATACATACGCTATGGGGGAGATTTACTAAGTGTTAAACTCCTATCAAATTATTCTCCAACTGCACAGAATCATGAATAAACCCTGATCACATGAATTGGTGAATTGAATGATTGTCCACAGATCAGATAGACCTTCTAGCACATGTTCTGAGTAAGCAGTGGATCTCCTGATTCCATTATTTCTACCAGCTTTGATAGTAAGCTCTTCTGCATTTGTGTATTGTTTAACCACTTGCCAACCGCGCTATAGCCGAATGATGGCTACAGCACGGTTGTCCAATTCTGGGAGCGCGTCATATGATGTCCTCTGAGAACACGCATTCCCGCACGCCCCCGGGGGGGTGTGCACCTGGCGATCTCCATGATTGTTGTATCTTACAGACACAGCTGATAACGTGATGTGGTAAAAGGCCAATCACAGCGGCCTTTTACCACATGATCAGCTGTGTCCAATGACACAGCAGATCACCGGTAAATACAGTTGCCAGTTATTGGCTGCACTTTCTTCACGCTGTCACAGCTAGAGGAAAGTAGTGCCGATAAACAGCAATTGTCAGAGGATGGATCTGCACAGATCATCAGGGCACTGATGATTAGTGCCCTGATGATCAGTTCCCAGCAGTGCCACCCACCAGTGCCACACTCCTGGGCCCGACAGTGCTGCCCACAAGTGCCCAGCAGTGCCACCCACCTGTGTCCAGCAGTGCCCAGCAGTGCCATCCACATGTGCCCATCAGAGCCTAGTAGTGCCACTCACCTGTGCCCAGAAGTGCCACCCACCAGTTTCCAGCAGTGTCACCCATCAGTGTCACCCATCAGTGCTGCCCAGCATTGCCACCAGTCAGTGCCCAGCAGTGCCATCAGTCATGCTACTCATCAATGGCCATCAGTGCTGCCCATCAGGTCCGCTTATCAGTGCCCATCAGTGTCACCTATCAGTGCCCATCATTGTTGCATATCAGTGCAGCATCATCAATGCCAGCTCATCAGTGCTGCCTATCAGTGCTGCCTATCCATGCCACCTCATCAGTGACGCCTATCATTGCCCACCAGTGCCGCCTGTCAGTGCCCATCAGTGCTGACGATCAGTGCCCATCAGTGCTGACTATCAGTGCAGCCTCATCAACGCACATCAGTGAAGGAGAAAAATTACCTGTTTGCAAAATTTTATAATAGAAGCAAAGAAAAACTTTTTTTTTCAAATGTTTTCTCTTTTTCTGTTTACAGCACAAAAAATAAAACACCCAGCGGTGATTAAATACCATCAAAAGAAAGCTCTGTTTGTGTGAAAAAAAATGCTAAAAATTTCATAT